ATTTTAAAAATTATTTTTAAAAATGGACACTTCATCATCATATTTTTACCTATTTTAACTGTAGGTTGTCAAGCACATTGTGTTCGGATGGCATGTAGTGACCTCTCTCATGTGGGAGGTTATGAAATCGAGCCTCAGTGGAGGTGTTGTTGACTCTTTGTACCTTCATTAGGTCCAAATCAACATCGGTCTTCAATTATGAATTATTTTTTTTTATAAAAAATATAGCGGGTCAATTTACTTTGTATAAAAAAAATCAAAATGCCTTTGTATTTAATGACATTTCAATGATTTTGTTGACGGAAAATAAAAAATGATCATTCCACAATAATACTATGACCAAATGAAGATTCCTAATAAGTTTAAAAAAAAAAAAAATTAAGTGGACTAATACCTATAAATCTAGGACCAAAACTGGAATTAACTCTTTTATTGTCATTAATGGAGAGGATCATGGAGTATTCCATATTTCTCCCATCTTTATTTGAAATTTACTTAAAATATACAATCATAGCATGTCGATATTGTTTAGACTTGAGATGTAGAGAGAAAATATGAAATAGGTTTGTTTAGTTGCAGATACTTCATACTTATAGAGCAAATTATACTTTTGGTCCTATGACTATAGGGGTGTGTTAATTTCAGTATGTGACTATTAAAACTAACAATTTAGTCCTTTAACTATATTTTTTTAAGCAAATTTGGTCCTCCCGATCAAATCACCGGTAAAAATTGATCGAAAATACGTTTGTCATTTTAAATTATTTAATAACGGGGACAAATCAATCATTTCAGTCCCTTTCTTCTCCATCACTTGCTGGAAGGTTGATTATGAGAACGTTGTAAAATGAGGCCGTAGTACATGAGGCCAAAGAGTTCAGATGCAGTCGGCACTGTTACAGCAAGACAAACTCCATAGCAAATTCCGAATACTATGGACCAGACGTACAGTGAGCCCGGCAGTGCCATGGCCATCATTATGTATCCAACCGCCATTATAATCTGTGAAGCTGTGTTCCATACCGACCTGGGTGTTCCAGCTTTAATTTCTTGCAAATTCATTGCACCATCCCAAAATTAATAATTAACAATTAATAGAAAGTCAATTAAGGTGGTCCAAAAAATTGACGTAGAAAACAATTCAAGGGGTTGCAGTGGACGACGGCGGAACTTCACAGAGGAAAAAAACAGCGGCGAGGCAAACAGCAAAAGGGACGACCGCGAGCATGAGCAAGAATTTATCAAGGTGTTGTTTATCAACTAAAGGGACGACCGTCGCTGCTTCCCCTTCCCCTTCAGGCAACAAGGTAGTCCGGCGGAGAAGCAGAGTCAAAGTCACAAACCAACTCGTACACGAAGGAGAAGGAAGCAAATAACTTTACCCTTTTTTTTACACATAAAATGATCAATTTGCCCCCATTATTAAATAGTTTAAAATGACAAACGTATTTCCGATCAATTTCCATCGGTGATTTGGCCGGAAGGACCAAATCTGTTAGAAAAAAGCATAGTTAAAGGACTAAATTGTTAGTTTTAAAAGTCATGTATCGAAATTAACACACCTTCTATAGTCCTAGGACCAAAAGTGTAATTTGCTCATACTTATATGAGAAATTATTAATTATTAATATTGTAAATTGTAATAGCCATGGAGTTATGTTTCCCTATTATTATAGGTAAATTGTTATCCCAAATGTTTCCTCTTTCATGAATTGTTACTCTTAATTGACTTTTGGCAAACAATTTAAGTGTATAATCGAAAAAGCTCACCAATCACCGAAGTAAAAAGTTAACACTAAATTGATTTATTTTGAAAAAGTAGAAAAGAATTCAGGATATTTTTAGAGCATTTTTATCTGTGATTTTTTCAAAGTTTTTGAGAAGAACTTGACTTATGTGAAGAAAAAAGATGAGATGAGTTCTTCATGCGGCAAGTATGGTTTTTTATGGGGCCTGCAAGGAGAGAGAAATTAGAAATGAGAGGCACTGTCGCGTGAGTGGGCTGCACAGAGTTAGACTTTTTTTTTTTTTTTTTCGTCAGACGAAGTTTTTTTCTCTCTTTTTTCTTATTGTGATCTCTTTCTCTCCTCTCTCTCCTAATTAGCACCACAAAAATCACAAAAAAAAAATAATAAAAAATCACTACTATTGGAGATGCTCTAAAGAAAACAAAAATTATAATGATGACATGAGTTACAAATTTTTTTTTAGATGATGAGCGAAATTTGCAGTTACTATTCGATGATACATTAGATAAACTATACCTTGTGACCCTAGCTGATAAAAGACCACAAGAAAGCTACGTTGTCTATAGCTAACCAGCTTAAACCAAAAAAGTCAATAAACAACTCTCACTAAAAGTAGTCAAACTTATAATCTTTTGGTTATCAATCCAGCAAAGTTCCTATATACAAGTTTTCAATACAATATCATATGTTTTGAAAACTTGTATCTTGTAATTTAGTAAATTGTACTCTCCTTAACAATTTTATAAAACATACAATATTGTAAAAATTTTCTAATTTTGTATATTTAACGACTAAACTTTCTCTAACTTTGTATATTTATTTCTAAAAGAGTGAACCATTATGGAAGCATAGTGAGACACTATTATATTGAAACTCGAAAAAGAAAACTCTCTTAATTAAAGTGTGAGAACTTGGTGAAATTCAACTAATTTAATACATTAGTGTGCTTTGCCCCATATAATTGTTTCGTATCATTAAAAAAGAAAAAGAAAAAAAAAAAAAAGGAAAAGCAATATAGGACATTGCCAACTAATGATATGATGATTGAGTCCTTGTTAATGAGATTTGTCAATAATTGAAAGTATTTTTTGACATCCAAAAATTATTTTCAAGGGCATTATGATTATTCTTTATACAATTACATATGAGTTAATTCCATTTTTTATCCTAAATTTATAGATAGCGTTTCACTTTTAATCCTTTTTTTACAAAAACATCTTATATTAGTCCTAGCTTTATTGTGGCATGACCATTTTTGGTCCACCGTTAATAAAATTGTTAAACTAGCGTTAACTATGAAGGTATTCCAGTCCATTTAGTTTTTAAGTGTTAATTCCTTTTTTGGTCCTATATATATATATATATATATATATATATATATATATATATATATATATATATATATATATATATATATATATATATCATTTCCCTTTTAGTCCTTTTTTTTTAAAAGAACATCATGTTGGTAGTTTTAATATTAATTTATTTCTATACCGGTGAATTCTATAACAAATTCATTAATAGCATGGAATAAAAACCGAGCAAACAATTTGTTTGCACTAGGTATGAGAAAAACCGAGCAACATATTCTTTATCAGATTTTCTTATCAAGCCACCATGTTTTATAATTAATTTAAATTTATCTGTTAACATATAACAATAAAAACAATTTTAAAAAAAAAACAAAACAAAACAAAACAAAACAAAACAAAACAAAACAAAAAAAAAACAAAAACAAAAAAGGTTTAATTATCAACACAATTGTCCCAAAAAATCAATGATCAGTTGACAACCAACATGGAAAAATACAAAAAGAAGAAATACATAAATTTATCATACCTATATTGTCACTTCTATAAATATTGTGCCTTTCATCCATAAGCCTTCAGTTCACAGTTGGAGGCACTGCTGCGGAGACTAATGTAGAGAAGTTGCTGCCTGAGGTTGTGTGAGCTACTGTGCGACACTGCTCTGCCTGAGGCGGTGCTGCGGTGTGGCGGTGTGGCGGTGAAGAACTGTTGCGACAGTTTTCGTTGATGCGATTTGCGTTAGGAAGTGACAAACATATTTCATAGGAAATTAGGAATTTTAGTTTTTTTGTTTTTTTAGTTTAGGGATTATTTTAGTTATACAAATAAAAATAAAAATATACACTTTGTATTAAAAAGATAAAAATATCCTCATAGTTAACGCTAGTTTAACGGTTTTATTAATGGAGGACAAAAAATGATCACGCTACAATAAAACGAGGACCAATATATGATGTTTTGAAAAAAAATGACTAAAAGTAGAATGATGTCACCAATAAATCTAGGACCAAAAATGGAATTAACTCTACAAATAAAAATAAAAATAAAAATAAAAATAAAAATATACACTTTGTATTAAAAAGACAAAAATATCCTCGTAGTTTACGCCAATTTAACGATTTTATTAATGAAGGACAAAAAATGGTCATGCTATAATAAAACTAGGACCAATATAGGATGTTTTCAAAAAAAAAAAAAAAAAAAAAGGACCAAAAATGAAATTAACTCAATTACATATTTATCTTCTTTTTTTTTGTCCCATATTGCCACGTTCAAAATCTCTTATATATATATAGCAAGGATATAACAGAGATTTTAACAATTTTTTTCTGGGGAAGTTTAAACAAAAAGAACCAAATGTGTAAATTAATTTTTCAGTAATTTAATTGTTATGTTTTCAAGGTAACACCAAACATGCTAATTAATTTTTTTAGTAAAATTATTTCCATCAAATATATTACTTGGAAACATTTTTCCGAGAATTTAATTGATGGGAAAGTACCAAACACTTCTTAATTTAAACTTGTACCATACTACTTAGACTAATTCTCGTGCGCACTAACCTAACACATGAATTTAAACTTCGACTTTATACCCAAGCAATTCAAACTTTTATTACTTGAAAACCATGTGTTTTTTTCTTCTGTTTTTTTTTTTTTTTTAATCTTAGTATGTATTATTATTTATTATTAGTTTTGGGTGACAAGGAAAACTATAGCTATAATCCACAAATTACATAAAAAAAAAAAAAAAGTAAATTGTACTAAAAAAATTTGTACAACAAACTCAACTAGTGTGTTGATAAAAATTAAATTCATAATTTTTTGATACAAAAATTATACTACACTTACTAGTCTTTCCAATTAGTATTTCATTTTCACACGTCATCATATTGCATGCATAATATTTAGTGTACAATCATTTGTGCATTTGTACACATATATATTACTATATCTTATTATTAATTGATTAAAAAGCGAGTTAATTACCGAAATGGTCTCTCGACTATAGCAAAAATTACTAATTTAGTCATTGATTACTTTTTTGACCAATTAAGTCCCTCAACTTTAAAAATCTTAACCAATTTGGTCCTCCATTTGTTTGACCGTTAGTCAACCGTTAACTTGGGACCAAATTGGTAATTCACTATAGTCAAGGGACCATTTTGGTAATTAACAAAGGATGGACAATTCTGTTAAGTTTTCTCGAACCGAACCGTACCAAACTAGTTAGATTCGGTAATATACCGAACAACCGAACGGTAATAGATTCTTGTATACTGAACGGTTCAGTAAAAACTCGAATCGAACTGAATTGTTCGGTAAAAACTGAATCGAACCGAATACCGTTTTAATTTTGAATTGCTATTTTGTTATATATTAGACTTTGGATATGGACTATGTAAACACCATAACACATAATATAGAACTTTTGATAACAAACCATAAAGAAATCAAATAAACATTTACGAGAGATACCCGTGAGAATATGAGCTGAACAGCAGAGCAAGCAGCAAGGGACTTGGATTTACTTTTTATTTATTTATTTATTTATTTATTTATTTATTATTATTATTATTATATTATTATTATATTTAAAAAAATCAAACAGTATTCGGTTCAGTTCAATTTTTTACCGAACAATTCGGATCGGATCGGATCATATCGGTTTTTTATCGAATCGTTCGGTATACAAGAATCCAATACCGTTCGATTGTTCGGTTCGAGAAAACTAAACCGAATTGCCCACCCCTAAAGTTAATTACCAATTTGGTCCTTTGACTATTGTGAAATTACCAATTTGGTCCCAAGTTAACGTTTGACTAACGGTCAAACAAACGAAGGACCAAATTAGTTAAAAATTTTAAAATTGAGAAATTTAATTGGTTAAAAAAAATAGTCAAAGACCAAATTAATAATTTCGCTATAGTCGAGGGACCATTTCGGTAATTAACTCTTAAAAAGCATTAGTAGTTTGATACACAACATTTTGAGGTTGTGTATGTGATGGCTGCTGTAGTGCTGTGCCCATCTTTCCAACCGACTTTTTGCTGCCTTTCTCGTCATTGTCGGCTACCTTTTATTTTATTTTTCGTTCGTATTCGGCATTCCCTGTCTCTAACACTAAATATTTCACAACCCTCCTTAGCTTTTGTGTAATTACACTTTCGCACTTATTAGTTTGTGTATGATCATTTAGGAGTGTCAATGCGGGGAGACGTTATGCCATGGAACCGTGTTCACCATTCATGGTGAACACGGTTCCAACGGTGTTAGTACACTGTTATCTTCTTTTTTTTTCTTTTTTCTTTTAATTAATTGTGTGACTTTTCTTCTTTATTTTCACATTTTGCGGTTTCACTTTAATTTGAGGTGAACAAAGATTTCGGACATTCATAAATTATGAATTCATGCCTGCACATTCACTTTGGAACCATGCCTACACATTCCCGTCCGAAATCACGGACATTCATAAATTATGAATCCATGCCTGCACATTCACTTTGGAACCATGCCTACACATTCACTTTGGAACCATTAGATTATGAATTTTCTGTTATGAGATTATGAATTTTCTGTTATGAGATTATGAATTTTCAGTTGTGAGATTATGAATTTTCTGTTATGCGATTATGAATTTTCTGTTATGCGATTATGAATTTTCTGTTATGAGATTATGAATTTTCATAAAATTCATAATCTCATAACAGAAAATTCATAATTTGATCAAACGCGCGCCGTTAACTCCACATCCGCGAATTTTTTTTTTTTTTTGCCTAAAAACGACGTCGTTTTGCCTTGTGTTCACCATTCTCGGTGAACACGATTCCATGACATAATTTGCGCAATGCGGGACAGTCTACCCTACTGCATGTTTTTTTTTTTTTTTTTTTCGAGTCTTTTTGAGTGGGCCTGCGAAGCTCGCAGACTAAGATTATACAATCCTATAACCCATCTCATGTGGGCTTGCGGGCTAGCCCACGGGCGCGGCCTAGCTTCAAAAATTAAAAAATTATTATTTTATTATTTTATATTCAAATAATTTAACCTAAATAATATTAAATTTTTTGTGTTTAATAATTAAAAAAAATTTACATTTTTAAAAATGTTAGGTTCTAACCCGAATTGGTAGTAGGGTGAAATTAGAATGATTACCAGTATTGATGTTTGGTTATGTATGACCCTATAATGTGAATAAAGATTTAAAAAAAAAAAAAAAAATCAAGGCTAGTGATCCTAATATAATGACATCCAAAGCACCAATATATAAAAATAAAAAAAAAAATCAAAACAAACATCTAAAAGCACTAATCCAAACTTAAAAATCAGATTACCAATAATATGGAATTATACTCGTTTTTTATTATGGAATGAGATTTTTAATTGAAGTTGTAATCAAATCTCAGAATTGTGTTTTAAACAATTGTCAACCAAACACTAACACTGATTTTGATTCTCATTCCTAGTGTGTAAACTCATGAACCAAACACTAACAATGATTTTGAAAACATTACACACTATTTATTAGACAAAAATTAGGAGTATCAGTACGAGGTAGCCCGACAAATTATGCTGTGCATCCGTGTGTGGTGCACACGGATGCAAAAACGGCATCGTTTTATTTAAATAAAAAAATTATTTTCGATTGCCGTTAGTTACGTAAACATATGTTTATAATTTTATAATTTCACAATCTGGATTTATAGTTATGAAATTATGGATGTGTAGTTATGCAATTTTGGATTTATAGTTATGAAGTTATAGATGTGTAATTATGCATGCAATTCTGAATGTATAGTTATGAAGTTATAATTTCACATTCTGAATGTATAGTTATGAAGTTATGGATGTGTAGTTATGCAATTCTGGATTTATAGTTATGAAGTTATGGATGTGTAGTTATGCAATTCTGGATTTATAGTTATGAAGTTATGGATGTGTAGTTATGCAATTCTGGATGTATAGTTATGAAGTTATGGATGTGTAGTTATGCAATTCTGGATGTATAGTTATGAAGTTATGGATGTGTAGTTATGCAATTCTGAATTTTTTTTTTAAGTCGGACGTCAAAACGATGTCATTTTTGCAACCGTGTGCACTATGCATGGTGCACATGGTTGCACAGCATAACCCACACCACTGTGGACCGCGGGCCACAATGCATTGTGGTCCAAATATCAAAATGGTGTCGTTTCTTTTAATGAAAAGAAACGGCACTTGTATCGCGCCGTTTGCAAAAAGTAACTTTAATTGTATAACATATTCAGTTTCATTTTGTATACACTGCAGTTTTATTTCAACATAACTACAGTTTCATTTCGATATAACTACAGTTTCATTCGATATTATACACTCAAATATGTGAAACTGTTATTCAGTTTCATTTTATATATACTATTGTTTCATTACAACACAACTACATTATCATTTCGACATAACTATAGTTTCATTGCACAATATACACTCAAATATGTGAAATGTTATTTAGTTTCATTTTAGAGTTAATACCTCCAATGGTCCTCCGACTATTAGCAATTTACCAGCTGTGGTCATTCGAGTTTTAGATGACCTCCAATGGTCCTCCATGTTTTAAAAATAACCACCCGTGGTCCTAATTCTTAAAAAAACTCCGAGTTTAAAATGACAACGAGACGTCCTAACAAATGAACAGATACTACAATGATCCACGATATAATTGGTTCTTTGTGTTTCAGTAGGTTGAGAAAGTATATGAACAGATACTACAATGTAATAGGGCCAGTAACATTCAAAAAAAAAAAGTGCTTATTTTTGGTGTGTTAATTAACAAATGAAACTACAGTGTATTTAAACTGACATTGCATCACGTATTATTTTTATATTATCAAATGAAACTGTAAAAAAACATTGTCTTCCATAATCCCACGGTCAGCAATTATATCGTGGATCATGGTCAAAAAATGGCGCTAAAGAAATAACAGCCATTACAGCTTAATGAAGTGCTTATTTCTTTAGCGCCATTTTTTGACCATGATCCACGATATAATTGCTGACCGTGGGATTATGGAAGACAATGTTTTTTTAACCCTAACTTGCCTTATTTGCTAGTTTAAAAAATAACATTTAAAAAAAAAAAAAAAGTGATTATATTATATAGCGCAGCGTACTATATTTTACTAAATGAATAGAAAAAAATGTAATTTTTAATTTATATGTACTATATTTTAATGGTAATGATTTTTTATTCATAAGTACAATTTGTACCTTTTTAAAAAAATAATATGAAAGTGTCCTAATTTTAATTATATACAATGAATAACATGATATGATTTTAAAACATGAATGTTTTTAAAAGTATATGAAATTATGAATACAAGAATACTTCTACAACATTTTATTTTTTAAAAAATTTAATGTTAGCTTATGAATATCGTTGGTTGAGCCTAAGAGACCCGCTGTATTAAAATGAAAATGCAATATATATAAAATGAAACTGAATATGTTATACAAATAGAGGTACTTTATGCGGAATGTTTGCCATTTCTTTTTATTAAAAGAAACGACACTGTTTTTTACCATGGTCCACGGTATAATTTGCCCCTGGGTACCCCTAGCAAAAATGCAAATCAACTTTTGGTTCTAAATGGAATTTTACTAAACATTGGGCCTTTATGTGTAATTATATATAAAAGAAGGGTATAGATGCAAAAGTTACTCCGGTAAACAAGTGCACCGTCCGCGGAAATATTCGAACTTTTGTAGCAATTATTATACAGAAGACTACACAAGTACAAAACGAAGAATTCAATAAAAACACGAAGTTCTGCTGAGGATTCTTGTCTTACAAATTTTGCTGGGTTGATTCTTTGTTGCATCCAAGAATCTCAAATTGATCGTAAAATCTTGTTTGGGTGGACACTTGGCACTGTTTCATTTGATGATCAGGTCTGCTTCTTCTTCTTCTTCTTCCCTTTCACTGTCTTTGACTTCTCCTGAAAATTGCAGTTTCTATCTCTGTTTATATGCAAAGGGATTTTTTTTAAAAAAAAAAAAATTTCTGGGCTGTTATTATTATTTTTTTCTGCAGTTTGGTATTGGTTGACTGTTTGTTTTTGGAATCTTTTGTGTTTTTGGTAAAATTTTCAAGGGTTACATGCTTCTGGATCTTGTTTGGGAGATGGTTTTTTTTAGTATGATAATTTGATTAAGTTCTGTTGATGGAGCTTATTTATTTATTTATTTGAATTTTTTCAGATTCTGGTGTAAACTGTGCATATACATAAGTTCACTCAGTCATTCAATAACATATAATTGGGGTGTTTGCTAAATAGCATTAGCTATTTGGTAAATACATAAGTTCAATCAGTGTTTAGCTGATTGGGTTAGTGGGTTTGACATGTTGATAACATTAGCTGATTGTAAAAAGATGTTTGATAAATTTTGTTGTTGTGATAGATGGTACTTTGTGAAGTTTTTAATGATATATGTTGAATTACAGAGTGCCTGCTGATTTGATTTTGCAAAAAAAATTGGATTTATTGCACCTTGGGCACTCGAGTTTTGTTCTGGAATCTGCAGTTTGGGATCATAATGGAAGCAAGGAGGCCAATGGTTAAATGTTGGGATAAGGTTGTCCCTAGTATAGTAACAGCATTATCATCGGCGTTTTTTGAGTGGGTGCTTATCTTTATGCTGTTTATTGATGGTGGTTTTGGTTATTTGATCACCAAGTTTGCCCAATATTGTCGGTTGCAAATCCCGTGTTTGTTCTGCTCGAGGATGGATCGTGTTCTGGGCAAGGAAAGAGCGGGCTTTTACTGGGATTTGGTCTGCTACAACCACAAGTTGAAGATCTCTTCGTTGGTCCATTGCCATCTTCACGATAACCTTGTTGATGTTCGTGGAATGTGTGAAAGGTGCCTCTTCTCGTTTGAAACCTTAGATAAATTAAACACGGAAACGTATAGATTAATAGCGGGGAAATTAGGCGCAGAGGCTTGCCTTGTTGATGAGGATCCTTTACTAGAGGACTGTTGGAGGAAACGAAACTGTTTTTGCTGCAAGGAGCAGTGCGGTTCTAAGGGTTTTGCCCGAAAGTTGCTTCAGATTACATCTTTTGGTTCGGAGGCAGATAAACTTGATGCACCTTTTCCTGTGGAGAATGCAGATGATAGGGATGACGAGGAGATAAGGAACCGGTTTTGTCAATTTTCTCTCTCAGAATACAAAAATGTCAGGATTACTTCTGAGAGCGAATCCGATGCTGCAATTTCAGACGATGAAAGGGAGAATTCCAAACCGGATTCAATTGATCGATGTATACATCCAGAACCTCAAAATATTACCCTAGCTGAGGACTTGACACCCGAGAAATTGATACATCCATCTTCAGTGTCTGTACCGCCTTCTAATCAAGTTTTGGCTCAAGATGTTGACCATGAGTTAAGGGAGATTAATTTGAGGCAAGCTGAATGTGTCCCCGAAATATCTGCACCATCTGAACTTACATCTTTCGTTGAGGTCCCTCCGTCACCTAAACTTGAGTCTGGTAAGTTCCAACTTTTAAATTTTATTGAATCCAATCAATTAGCTAGTGTAACCATGACCTCCATTTTGAATCTAACTGGTTGACCACTTGAAATATACCACGGGTAGACAAAAGTGATAGCTAGTCTAACCCGGTTGAAATATACCACGGGTAGACACAAAGTGGTAGCTAGTCTAACCCATCCTTATAAAAGCATATGTAGACACAAAATGGACCGAACAAGCTCTAATACCATGTTATAATCTTAGATTGGGTCAAGGTCACTCAATTGGGTTATAATGCACAATGGGCAAAGCCACACTAAAAATTGAATCCAATCAATTAGCTAGTCTAACCCATGTCCTTATAAACAACTCATATGTTCTCTCTTATATTTTCAACGTGGGACTCAACATATTCCATATATAAAATCAGATGTTCTGAAACATATTTATGTTCTGAAACATATTTAGACATTTACCTATATTAACAATTACTTTCCAAATTTGATTAATTTTAACTGTTTATTTAACGATAACTAGTGATCTCACCCATCCTTGCTTTTTTACGGCAGCCGTTGCAACAATGAGCATAGAGTTGGAGAAGGAAACGCCTAAGGCAGGGAGTGATTTTATTCCGTCAAGTGAAATACCGTTGGATTCTAAGCCAGACACAACTGACACTAGTGCACAGATGGGTACGTCTTTGGATTTAGGCGATGCTTATAAGTTGGCTACCAGTGGTAGGGTAAGGCAACTCTCGGGGAAGTTTTTGAAGCAGATGTCCTTTAAGGATTCTACGCAAAACAGTGAAGACTTGAAGCTCCTGCTGTCGCAATTTTCTGCTAACCGGGGAATTGAATCTTCTTCATTAAATGATATCGGGAGCAGGCTGTCTGTGAATAGCGATGAGCTTAAAGGTTGTGATGGTTCCATGTCTCTCAGTATACAGATGATTCAAAGAAAGATCTCGCTCGAGAGAAACGAGTCTAATATCTCGCTAGATGGGAGCACGGTGAGTGAAATTGAAGGCGAAAGTATGGTGGATAGATTGAAACGACAAGTGGAGCACGATAAGAGATTTATTGGTGCGTTGTACAAAGAATTGGAAGAGGAGAGAAGTGCTTCTGCCGTTGCGGCAAATCAAGCAATGGCGATGATTACTAGATTGCAAGAAGAAAAAGCGGCGCTTCAGATGGAAGCCTTGCAGTGCCTAAGAATGATGGAGGAGCAAGCCGACTTCGACAACGAAGCGCTTCAAAAAGCGAATGAAAATGTTGTGGCGATGGAGAAAATTATACGAGATTTAGAAGGTGATCTTGGAGAATATAAAAAGAAATTCGGTGACATTACTCTCTTGAAGGAAATCAGCACCGAGAATTCAGAGGAAACTCGCACACGAATTAGTGATACAAAGTGGGAGATGGCGAAACCAATGGCGGGAAGCTCAACCCTTGATTTCGAAAACGAAAAATTATACATCACGAGATGTGTGAAGAAATTGGAAGAGGCGCTGAATCTATTTTCTAACAACGCTGCTGCAGATATGATTAATGGTGAATTTTCAGCCGAGGAATGGGTTAAAGTGAGTAATCCCGTCGAACTTGACCGTAGGGAGGATTGTCAAGGAAATAGCGAAATAGAAGTGGGTCATTTGCAACAAGATGCAATAAAAGAAAAAGGAATCCCTTGTTCTCAACAACTATCCACCATGTTACCTCACAAACTCAGAAACGTGGCCGGAGGTATCGAGTTGGATGCACTAAGAAACGAGCTGTCGACTTTGACCGACAGATTAAAACTGGTCGAGGCAGAACACAACATAATTCAGCATTCCATCAACTCTCTTGGGACCGGGGAAGAAGGGGTTAAGTTCATCCGGGAGATAGCTGGTTACTTGCAAAAGTTACATTCGAGAAAAGATCAACCCTCGTGCTAAAAGGTGAACACTTAAATTTAATGCTAATATTAGCTATTGTGGCATATTTATTTCCGTTTTGGATACCAAATCTGCCCACCTTCCATTTTATTCTCTTGTGGAATGTTTATATTCCCGAATACATTATTATGCAAAATCTTTTATATCTATTTATTGACGTTCTTTTTTATATCATCACAGATTCAAATGGATATAAGTGTACGAATTGACTTTCCCGAGACAAGGATCGTAGCTGCACTGTCAGCAAAGAACTATGTGAGTGTACATTGAAGATTTATTTACGTTTCGTTTCTTTCTCGTTTTTAGTTTGTTTCCCTTTCAGATTGCTTGAAAATTTAAAATTTGAAAAGCGTCCTTATTGGTGACTCCCTTCAAGAATTTTAGGGTATCATTGTATGTGGGCGGGAACTTTTGAGTAAGCTCACACTATAATGGTTTACAATTGTAAATCATACTTTTTTTTTTTTTTTAATCCATGATTTTCATTTGTGTAAATATTCTGAGAAAATACAAAAAAAAAAAAAAAAAAAAAAAAAAGGTTTGGATCTGTTCTAATTTGGAGAAATAGCAAAGAAAACAACGAATTTCTACTAACCAAAAAAAAAAATAAAACACAATATTATATATGTGCTGTATCTTGAAAAGATACAAGTCTGAAAAAGAAACTGCAAAAATGATACAAAAAACTAGTGAGGTGCACCTACAGCCCCGGCAACCGGGGGGGAGGGGTCGCCCTTGTTGTGGCTTTGCACTATATATATATATATATATTTATATATGTCTTTATCTCTTATAGCAAATAAAATTTGTAATAGCAGAAGAATAGTATAGTATACTCATATCCAGACTGAGATACAGTAAGTATGAGTTTTTGGGCATAGAAATATGGTGCTACTGCTGCTTGTTTTCCTCCTTGACGACGAGGTTGTTCTCGTTCTTGTTTGGTGCTTGTTCCGCTGCTTCAGTTGCCGCTGCTGCATTATTGTTGTTGTTCGGTGCCATTAACTTGTCGAACTTTTCGGTTTTTCCCAGCACGATCTCAATCTGAAATAGCGAATGTTAACTTAAAAAAAAAAAGGAAAGAGAAAAAAAAAACACAAAACAGGACAAGAATTTTCTGTATTTTACCCTCGCTTTCTGAACCATGCGGCCTTTTGCTTCGTCTTTCATTCCAACTGTGGATGTTAAAACCTCTGCTCCATTTGTAGGCATTGGAAGTTTTTACTTTTTTTTTGTTTGTTATGAAGAATGAGAGATTTGCAGGGTAAAAAGAGGAGAGTGAAAGAAAATACTTACTCTTCTCAGTTGCAAATCCATTGTTCTTCAGAATCTCAGCAACTGTAACTACTGTGGTGATTGCTGTAATTTTCATTCAAGGGGATTGTTCAATTAACGGGTTAAAATAGGTTATTGTATTACATGGAATTGGATGCTCTTTTTTCCCCGGTTTTTGGTGTCATGAGTAGTCCCTAATTAAGCCCGACTAATCCCCATTTGCACCATGTCAGCACAATTAAAAGGCAAAGTGCTGGTCATAATGATATTTGCACGGCCATTCACACTCGTTTGCACCAAGCCAGCCCAATTAAGTGGCAAAGTGTTGGTCATATTAAGTTTTTCCAAATGAGAGTGAGTTTTGAACTCCCACACATCAGACGAGGATTGAATTGATGACTTTTCATAATTTTTATAGATTCATGGGTTTATATCCTAGATTGATGATTACAAATGCACAAAAATGCATAGTGAAAATTTTATGATTTTTTCTAGGTGCCATGTATGTTATACTTAAATTTTCTAGGAAGGAATTGTCAAGGTTATTAAGTGAAAAGGGATTCACAGATGAAATTTTACCCATGCCCAAAGCAGACAGTTCAACCTCATTATGCTGTTGAATATACCTCTGCAAGCAAATGATAAAACACATTATTTTTAACAAATATATATATATATATATATATATATATATATATATATATATATATATATATATATATATAAAACAAATACTATAGCATGACTATCGTTGTATTCGTCTCATACTACTTATTCAATAATTTCTCCGAGAATTAACCACCTACCCACCCAAATTTGGTGAGTCATAATTCATGATTTCACACTCATTTCCCCCCATAAATTGGGTAAATTCAAGCTAGAACTAAAGAGGTGAAGGAACAAAAACCTTGGCAAGATTGACATAAAAGAAGAGGGGTTTCTTGGTGTTAGAAACTTGAATCCTATTTTTCTTCTGTGTTTCAGTGTTGTTTGTTGCTGGCTGGGGTGCCACCGCCACTGCCACAGCTTCCATTGTCATCTTGTATGTTGTCTTTCTCACCAAACAAACCAAAATAAAAATAAATAAAGGTTCAACTTCTCTCTTGATATATATTCTAAACTATTGTTTTGCACTCTTAATTAAGTTTACTCTTTGGGTTATTGGAAATAGAAGAGAAAATTTGGTATAAATATTTTGAGAGAAAAAAGTAGGGAGTTATAAGGGCTTTTAATATGATGAAGGCATCCTCCTTTATGTGAGGCACAAAACGTTGAGAACCAAAGGTATGGGTGTTTTGACCTAGTAAACATCCATTGGATTTGAAGATAAAAACAATGGTTACCCACTTTGATAGATACTAGCCACTGGTCTTGCTCCTAATCCGGGATACTAGCTACTATCATTTGGTATTCATATATCTATTATATTAAGGTTTTCTACTGGTGGATAATGATTATATATATATATATATATATATATATATATTGCATGTGTTGTCAACTTACTATAAGATTAAAAATGTTGTGGGAGCGGTCTATTGGCTTTCTTGGTTTGAGTAGCTTAGCTATGAGCAACGTAACCTATTCAGCTAGTTTACCTCCTTGTGGTTTTTTGTTAGTTAGGGTTACAAGGTGGATTTTACCCAGTGCACACCTTCGGGCAAATTATATCGTGGACCAGGGTCCACAACGCACTGTGGACATTGGTCTAATACACAGAATTTGACTTCATAATGCACATAATTCTTGTTCATAATACACATACATATAAACACGATATAATGAACATGAATTCTGTGCATTATGAACATCTATATAATACACAGAATTCATGTTCATTATATTGTGTTTATGTGTAGTGGTTGCGGATCGATTTCTCTCATCACTTAAAAAAATGGTTGGGGGTGAACATTTTACTGGGAGTTAATACGCAAAGTGATCTTCTGACGTACTATGTCACAATTTTCAATTTGGTTATCAAGATCAATTTATCCATTGGCCAGGTATGCAAAACTTATTCAATTTAGTCCTCTTGTATATTTAAATTTAATAAATTTTGCATAGTGAAAGGATAGTTTTGGATGAATTGATAATTGGGGACTAAATTGAAAATCATGACATAGTTGAAAGATTATTTTAAATATTATCTCTTTTATTGGTCTACAAGTAATGAAGTAATTAATCACGTTGTATTTAGCAACGAAGGGAAATAATTATTTGAGTTATTGTGACTTTCAGTCTCTCAACTATTATCTACTTTCGACATTTGATCCAAAACTATTAATTTCATCTCATTTGGTACATAGGCATGTTTTAGTGTCACATTTAGTCTTGCCAACCAAATCTCTTGCAATCACTCATTAGAAAATGCAATTTTTTTCTCATGTAAGAATGCTTCAAGGGAAAATTTTAGTAATATTATTATGTATTTAGATTAGATTTGAATGGATGATAGATTTTTTCCTTGTAGCAATATTAGATGAGAGAAAATTTACATTTTCTAGCGAACAACTGACAAAACGTACCAAATGTGGCAACAATATACTTGTTTACTAAATGTGACAAAATTGATAATTAGAGATCAAATGTGAGAAGTAAATAATAGTTGAGGATCAAAAGTTACAATAGTTCTAATTATATTTTTGGTCTGAGTTAATTCCACCAGAGGTCTCTTGTCTTTGGTGACAATTCCAAATTTAGTCCCAGACTATCAATTTTGTCATTTAACATCCCAGACTATTAGTTTTTGGACACTTTTAGTCTTTCTCGTGATTTTTTCTATTTTTAGTAAGGACATTTTTGTCTATTCATATTTTTCTTTTGTTATTTTTCCTTTTTTCAACCGGTTTAATTGGTTTAGAACTTTATTAAAAACCTGTTGAAAAATATTGTTACTAAAAATCAGAGGTTACCTAAAACTGAATTAAATTGGCTGAAGTTGAAAAAATAACAAAAGAAAAATATGAAAAGACAAAACTGCATTACTAAAAATAGAAAAAGTCATGAGAAGGACTAAAAGTGTCCAAAAACTAATAGTCTAGGATGTTAAATGGCAAAAACAATAGTTTGGGACTAAATTTGAAATTGTCACTAAAGACAAGGGACCTTTGGTGGAATTAACTCTTTTGGTCTTTATTTATTTATAAGATATAAATGTAGAACATTATATTATTTCTTATTTGATTATTTGTAGATAACCATAAAAGTTTTGGTTTGACTAATATCCTCTATTAATCATATCAACAAGAGATATATATACCAATTTTTTATATATATCTACTCTGTTCCAAAATAAAAAAATTGTTGTTCTTATTCATTCAGTTTCAAATAGTCAAAAGATTATTTACATATAGATTTTTAAGTCCTTTGCAAGAGTTGAAATTTGCACCTTATACATGAAGTAGTTAGGACTATTACTTGATTCTTTTAAGTCCTTGGTTGAAGTTGAAATTTACACCTTATACATGAAGTAGTTAGGACTATTACTTAATTAAAGAATAAGATTATTATACATTTTTAAAGAAAGTTCTGAAAAAATTGTCAATAACTATCTTGTGGTCTGACAATATCACATTTACTTTTCATAATAAAGGTCTTAGATGTTGGAAAAAGGGCTTGTAATCTGTAATACATTTGAGATACAACAATAATACAGAATACAACAGGGAACAAAAACTGGATCATTTGATATCTTCAGGTGTGTAATCACTTTCCTATAAGCTTTAAATCTCCCTCTATAAAAGCAACAAGGTTCAAGATTTAATCTTATGGGATACAAGAAGATAAATGAAATTCTAAGTTGCTTTGTTTGAGAATTTCCTAAAGAACTGTAAGACTGTGAAAATCTCATTTTAATGCAAGTTTTTGCATCTCCTTTTTTTCAGACATTTCTCCAAGTATATATAGATGCAAAATATATCTGTTTGGAGAAGTTACATGGAAGTTGCTGTAGTTTAAAACTCAACTTTCATAAGATAAGAGATATCCTGATTGATATATCTATCACCGGAGAAATAATTAAATATATATATTGAGTCAGTAACTTTATGAAAAATTATATATATATATATATATATATATATATATATATATATATATATATATATATATATATATATATATATATATATATATATATATAGAGGGTCCGGATCAGGTGAGGACCTAATCTTAGGTGAGGACGTGAGGACTAATCTAGACCATTAAATCAGAATGATGTATGACTGAGATTAAAAGAAACAAATCACACGGATTAAGAAAATAAATCCCTTTAAAATATTAAAATATATAAATTTAGGGTAAATCAGTCTTATTAAAAGATGTGCATTCCTATACTGAGTGTTGTGCATCAATAACTTCATTGTTGTGCATTCAAACCCCGCCAAAAAATCATACAGTGAACATCCAATGTTCTACGATGCATTGAACTATGTGATATAATGCACAACTCCCTAGCCTATAGTGCACAACTTACAACACTAGGTTGCACAATTAGAACACACGAATGCACAATCGTACTACCCAGGCATTTATACATATACACGACAATCCAAATATAGACAATATTATACTCAAAAGAACAAGCAAAAAAAATAAAAAATACTGATTAGTTTGCATGGGCGAACACTCAATCAATGATGAAGAAATCGCGGCTCCAAATTGCAACGGTGATGATCCAAGAAAATAGGAAACCAATTTGGCCAAGAATTATACATGCGTTCACACTTTAAAAAAATTAGAAAAAGACACTATTATCCCACTTTAACAAAAAAGATCAATCCATGTCATCTCAAAAACTCAAATCTGGACCATCCAAATAAAAAAACAAACGCACAAGATTAATCCTCACGTCCTCACCTAAGATTAGGTCCTCACCTGATCCGGATTCTATATATATATATATATATATATATATATATATATATATATATATATATATATATATATATATATATATATATATATATATTTCTTACGCATGGAAACATGCAAAGGATAAATATAAATAATATACATATATGTAGTTCAATAATCTCAAGCATACAGCTACTTATACCAAGCATGTTAAGTGTAACTTTGAAGCATATAGCTTCAAAAAATAGAAGAGCATATTTCAAGCATGTTAAGTGTAGTTTTGAAGCATATAGCTTTAAAATGCCCCAACACCTTACGCATGAAAATATCCAAACATGCATTAATACTCTGAAGCATATTAGCTATATATCTCAAGCATATAGCTATATATCACAAGCATATAGCTATATATCTCAAGCATATAGATATATATAAAACTCAAGCATATAACCATATAAATTTCTCCCAGTATTTTAATTAACTTTCTACCAAACTAAAATAATATTTACAACTCCACAACTCCAAATATTATTTAAGCATTCATGGTAGTTCATCTGAAACATTAATCTCCATTACTATATAAATTTCCAACATTAGAACATCTCCAATAATCTTAGGGTGTGTTTGGTTGACAGGTTTAGCTCTAAGGAATGCGTATCAAAGTGATTAGTATTGTTTGGTTGATAGGTTTTTAGAACACTACTTTGCGTTTCAAATACTCCTTAATTGAAAAACTCATACCCAAATAAAATAAGGGTATCATCCCCTTTCATTCCCTTATTCCTTCTCATCCACTTTGATTAGTGCTTTTAGATTTTTGTTTTTAATTTTTTTTTTTCATATTGGTGTTTTGGATGTCTTTATATTAGAATCAATTGACTTGATTTTGTGTTCTTATATTTTTAAAATCTTTATTCTCATTATAGGATCATACATAACCAAACAACATTATTGATAATCATTCTCATTCCACCCTACTACCAAACATGTAAAATACTTTCACTAAAACCCATTATCATTAGCAAGTATTTGATACCTATTCCGATTCCCATGTGCGAACCAAACACACCTTTAGTATCTTTTTTTTTTTTTTTTTTTTTTTGCGGTTTTTGAAGTACTAAATAGGAGAGAGAAGAGAGAGAAAAAAAGGAGAAAAAGAAAGGAAAAAAGAATCTGACGAAACAAAAAAAAAAAAAAAAATTAAAAGGTAGTTTTATGCGCCAGGCTGGGCACTGATTTTTCCGGAACGTGCATTTTGCGAGTAAAATATGTTATTGTTTGATAAAAAATCATGTCTCCTATTAGTTTTCAAACCCAAGCTAGCTTTAGTTGTTAGATCTTAAAAAA